GCACCAGATCTGCCCCCTCTGTAGTTCTGATGTTACACACACACATTAATGCAAATGGACCTACACGCTCTCACACATCTGCCCATCTCACATAAAAAAAATAAGCTTTCCTGAGAAACGTTCATATATATTTAAAAATCAACATCTTTTCCAATCTTTCAGGGAGAAAACACTGCTCAAACTTCCAATCCTGCACAAAACGGACAGAAACATCCATGTTTATCGTTCTTCAGAAACGATGGCAAGCCCGGTCCACGTATGCACACACTCTCACCGCCAAGTTTAAACTTCGTTAAGCCCGAACGGTTGGCTAGGTCCAACTCTGCAAACCGCTGTGACATATCGTGTGTCGGCCACCATGCCGAGAGCATTAGCAATAACTGGATTTCACATAAGTTATTGAAAACCATTTGTAAACAGAAACATGAAAGCAAACAAGCTCGCACACAGCCTCACTTGATCATCAAAGACTTATCGATCAAATAGTCCTCCTCCTTCTCCCTGCTCTGCTTAAAAGCAACACGAGCAAAGTACAAATCATCCGTTTTGTTCCAAAACAAGTTTAAAACGTCCAGCTTTTAGTCTTCTGCGTGTGTGTCCGTTCATTCTCTGGCAGGTTTTTGTATCTGCATGCAAATGCACATGTCCACACAGGCATGGGTACTGCAGAAGATAATTTAAATTTTAGAGTCCTGAATTTCCCTCTGGGACTAAATTATGTTTTCTAGTAATCCATCTGTCTTGGATTTTGTTCATCTAAGTGGTTTTTAGGGGTGCACCGATAAATCGGCCGGCCGATCGATCGGCCCCGATTTCCTTAATTTGGGGAGATCGGCGATCGGCCGATCTTTAAATGAGAAGCCGATTTTATCCACCGATCTTATCTGCCTCCGGAAAGGTCTGAAAATCAGCTGCTGTCCCCTTTTGCTCCACTGTGAGAGCTCACACACAGGTCACTCGGAGCAGCCATGTCGTCGGTTTGGAAGTTCTACGCTGTAAAAGAAAATGAGCCAAAGATCGCAATTTGCAATTCGTGTAAAGCCGAAGTAAGTCGTGGTGGAGCCACCACCAAAACCTTTAATACAACAAACCTCGTTCGCCATTTAAGAAATCACCACGCCGCCAAGTATGCAATGTTTGAAGAGAGCAACCAAGCTAAGGCTAATGCTAAAGCTAGCGCTAACAAAGAGGCAGTCGGTGGGTCGCTGTTAGCTTTTATGAGCAACGAAAAGAGCAAAGCTACCACGAGGAAAGTGATGGAGTTCATGGCATTAGACAACCAGCCATTTTCAGTCGTTGAGGACAAAGGTTTTAGAAGCTTGATGCAGCACGTGTGCCCACGATATAATATGCCGAGTCGGAAATATTTTTCTGATGTTGCATTACCGGAGTTGTTCAGCCAAGTTTCGAGAGACACCCGCAGCCTGCTAAAAGCTAATACAAATACACTCAGCTTTACAACAGACATCTGGACTTCTGATGTAAGTTTAATGTCCATGTTAAGTTTTACTGCACAGTGGATTGACGAACAGTTCGAACGTCATCAATTACTCTTAAACTGTAAAGAAATGGCAGGGTCTCACACTGCGGCCAATTTATCAGCAGAGTTTAAGGCGATGCTGAATCACTGGGAAATCGATCATGGAAGAGTTCACGTTGTTTTACGGGATAATGCTCGTAATATGGCCAAAGCGCTGGATGATATCAACCTGAAAAGTTTACCCTGCCTGGCACACACACTGCAACTGGTTGTAAATGAGGGACAGCTGGCGCAGCGCAGCATCACAGACATGGTGGCAACAGGAAGGAGAATTGTTGGACATTTTAAGCATTCATCACTTGCCTATTCCTGACTTTATGACATACAGACACAGTTAGGTCAACCCAGGAAACGATTACAGCAAGACGTTTCAACGAGGTGGAACAGCACAGTCTACATGCTGCAGTCGCTGTTGGAGCAGAGACGTGCTATTGGCGTGTATGCTGCTGAGCACGAGTTACCAGCCACACTCACAGCACACCAGTGGGAGCTACTGGACAATGTGCTCACCATTCTTGCACCTTTTGAGGAACTCACAAAGGAGATTAGCTCATCAACAGCTACAGCAGCAGATGTCATCCCAGCCATCACTGCACTCAAGCGGATTTTGGAGAGGCAAGCGAGCACAGACCGTGGCGTGGGTACAGCCAAAGCTACGCTGCTGGAGGCTGTTGTGAGAAGATTCAGCAACATTGAGCATGAGCCCCTGTACAGCTTGGCCACTGTTCTGGATCCAAGGCAAGTAACTATTAACATTCTATTTTAGCCATAATGACTTTTAGCCTACTGCTATATTTCAACAAACATTTAAATTAAATTAAAAATAAAAATTTATTGATTGAAATGCATTTCTTTATTTACATGCAAGTCATAAAAACTGTTAATGTATACAAAACACAATGATTGACCCATCTTTCTTTGTTTATGCAAAACAAGGTACAAGAATCGCTACTTCTCAGCAGAGGTGAAAGATGACGTGAAACTGCTCCTTTTGACCAAACTTGCAGAGGGGGAGACCAGATGCACACCTGCTGCAGGAACATCCTCTGAAGTGGGACCTCCTGCTATAGATGAACCTGCAGCCAAAAGGCGTAGTCTACTGTTTGCAGCTCACGACGAAATCTTAAAGGAGAACATTGAACAGGAGCAACAGCTGGCCAGCCCTTCAGCTATGCAGGTACAGAACTACCTATCTGAGGTTCCTGTTGAAAGGAGCCAGGACCCATTGGTCTACTGGAAGATCAATGAAAATCGTTTCCCTCATCTTGCTCTACTTGCCCGAACCTATCTCTCTGCCCCATGCACAAGCGTTGAAAGCGAGCGCCTGTTTAGCTTGGCTGGACATGTAGTAGATGAGAAAAGAAGTCGCCTGTCTGGTGACAAAGCAGAAATGCTTTTGTTCATCAAGAAAAACCTGCCACTAATGAAAGTGACTGGAATAAGTCTGTGAGAACTAACTTACCAGTGTTAGTTCTTATTACCCACTGACTTGAAAATGTTACACTTGTTGCATTATCTTTTTTTTTTTTTAAATGTAACAAGTGAAAGAGTTGAAGGAACTGAACATTTTTTTTTTAGTTAATTTTATAGTTTTAACAAAAATTGTGTAAACTTCATTTATATTTCAGAATACTACCTCATGACAAGTTAAAACAACAAGTTTGTATTGTTTCTAGGGTATTTTTCAAGGGTATGTTTTACAATAAAATAAGATTGGTAAATTGAAGGTGCATTGTGATCTTGTAACACCTGACACTGTTGCTTATAAAAAAAAATCGGTATCGGCCAAAATCGGAATCGGCAGTTCAGACTTTCAAAAAATCGGTGATCGGTGATCGGCCTGAAAATTGAAATCGGTGCACCCCTAGTGGTTTTCCATCTAAGACTTTTTTCACGTCTGTCTTCTTTCATCATGCAGCATCATTTTTAAAGCAAACTTACGCATGAGTGCAATATTCTTTATCTATTTAAATCAATTTAATAAGCATTGTCAGTAATTACTATTTTTAGTTAACTTTGGGTTTATTTAGAAGTAGAGTCTGACAATCGGAGTGGTCTATTTCAACTTCCAGAGACCTTAGGGCTTGTCAACATGCATTTTGTTGATTTGCAGTTTCAGTTCTGTTCATTTCCAATATTTGGGACGTGAGCCCCTCAAATGTGAAAAACAAAACTTTTGACCCTGCTGTTTGTCAAATGTTGACAAGTATCTTTTAAATCAAATTCTTCAATTTGTTTGTAGTTTTTCTGCATGATTGTATGGAAATAAGATGCTGCAATTAGAGTTTTAAACGTCTATTTTCACATAATATGAAAAATGTTAAAGCCACCCAGTATCATACATTAACTTCATTAAAATGGAAAATGTGTACAAAACAATGTTTTCATTCCTGTTTGTGTTGTGTCTCCTCAACAGTCCAACAAAGTGTCAGTGGTGCAGCAGTCTCACGGGATGCACCCGCTGACCTCCCTGCTGCCCTACAGCAACGATCACTTCAGCCCGAGCCCTCCACACCTGCCCACAGACATGAGCCAGAAGACAGGTGAGAACGTGCACATGCGCATAAACAAACTCCAAACACAGCAGTTCATACACACACTGACAATCTGTACACATTTAAAAAACCATTAAAAAGGCAGCTGACAATATGGGTGTTAAAGTTAAAGACTGGTGCTGATATCCTCATTCACATATACACACAGTCTGTGTTTGCCTTTTTTTTTTTTTTACAAATTATTCACCACATCTGCAAAGATAGAAATGAAACACGCACATATAGAGCCATTTTATAAGACATGTACACAAGGAATGCATTATAGCAGAAGTATTATATTCATATTCTTGTCCAGCATCTCATAAATGGACACACACACGCACACTTGGCTGTGTGTGTGAAATGCCAGCGTCGGCTCCGTCTGCCTGTGGCGGTCCCACGGCAGCTCTGAAGTGGCCTGCTCCTCTGAAGGGACCCCTAACCGCACACTCTCTCTCACACACACACACAAAGATGGAAACAATTAGGGTGACAATCGCACAAGCCATCACAGCAGCTCACACAAGGTTCTCCTTAGCAAACTTTTCATCCAAACACACACTGCACTCTGTTTGGGAGTCACAAACAAACACACCCTGACACTACTAGAGTTTTACTTCGATGGGGGCGGAGCTTAAAGGGTGGCAGAGTTTCTGCCTCACAGTTTCCGTAACTGTGAGATATATCAAACTCTGGATTTTTACTTTTGATTCACCTTGTGCTTTATTCTGTAATATCTTTTAGATAAAAAGCAGCATGTCAATGTACTTGATTATCTTATTCCTCCTACATTGTATGACGAAGTTCATATCTAGCTTTGGATCATCTGAAGTTTCTGCCTCTGAATAAGGTTGTTTGAATATTTGGACAGTGTCGATAACAAAGGGAGTACTTTTTTCAGAGAAAGAGGTTAAGAGAAAAACAATAGTAATGAGCAATAGACGAGAGATGAATATCTACTGCTGTGAGTAGATAGTAAACTAAGAGACTTTTGCAATTTTCTGGAAATCCCCATTTTCATAAACACATGCTCCTTGTCTGGTGTAGACTGTGTTCATGTGTGTGTGCGTGTGCATGGCTGACTCAAAGTCTGTGACTCAGCTCTTAATGACAGACTAAACCACCTGCTTCTACCTCACACAAACACACTTCCAACACCTGGCGGCTGCTCCCAACTTTTCTTCAGACGACTTACCTGAATTATGATTACGTTCTCCACTGAAGAACATCAGGAAGCAATCACAAACGCACACCTTACATCATACCTGTCTTCCGCCAGCTGATCACAGTATGAGTCACCGCATCAGTGAGGTCATTTTTTTTCCCCAATACACTTTTGATGTGTCACTGAGCTCAACATGGAATAATATATTTTTCACAATAGCTCAGAGGGTTACAGTTGATGTGAGGAATTTCTTCACCTTTAACTAATTCAATTAGGAGAACTAAAAGTGCATTATTAAACACAGTACTATGTGATTTAAAGATGTGCGTTGCTTGCATTGAAAAGCAATGTACTTCAAGTTTTAAGTCCCTGCTTTTTCTTTCTTTTCACTCATTGCAATTAAAGCAATTAGCTTGTTTGGATCTTTTCACTCAGTTTGATTGTTAGAAGCAATAACTCGTTCAACAAGGATCTGATTTTATTTTTTTTTTTAATTTAAGAACAAATACATTTAAAAAGCTTTTAATTGTATAATTATATTTATATGTAACCAGAAGAAATCCAGGCACTGACATTCCTTGTTGAATATGTTTTGCACCACTGGTGTAAAAATAAATTTAATTTTTACCCTCTGTAAATTCCACTTTTTATTCATTCTCCTTTTGGTTAAACCAATCAATTCAGTTAATCTTTACAGACCCAGTTCACCTTAATTGTAACCTTAAGGCAGTCCATCCGTCCATCCATCCATTATCTTTACCTGCTTCTTCCTTTCTGGGTCATGGGGGTCACTGGTGCCCATGTCCAGCCATCACTGTGTGAGAGGTGGGGGACACCCTGGACAGGTCTCCAGTCAATCACAGGGACACATAGAGACAAACTAGACAGACAACCATTCACTCTCTCACTCACACCTAGGGACAATTTTGTTATCAGTCAGGCTAACGTGCATGTTTTTTGGACTGTGGGAGGAAACTGGAGCACCTGGAGAAAACCCACGCATGCACAGAGAACATGCAAACTCCACCCAGAAAGGCCCCGGTCGGGATTTGATCCAGCGACCTTCTCGCTGAGAGACAAAAGCTCTACAAATTAAGCCACTATGCCACCAATCTTAAGGCATTATACATGTATATAAAATAATAAGTTCAAATCATTATTCCAGAAAGTCTTGTTCAGATGCTTTGTATAAAAACATCACATCTCACAAAGTTTCAGATTAAATTTTGTCTTCAAATCCATTCTGATAAAAGCGATCAACTAAAAAACATAATTACAAGTTCAGGTTTTTGTTCCCATTATTGGTGTTCAAATGAAACAGTGACGCACTCATTTATTTAGCTTAGGCCGTAAACATTTCTTCTCACATTTGTTGATCAAACATTTGCTAAGCAGTCTGACACTGACCTACTTATTGCATTTTTTTGTTTTTATACAAACTTTGAAATTGACTTTTGTCTGCCAGTGTGGTTTTCCTCATTATATAAGCTTTTGAGTGAAAACACCCCAAAATGATTTTGTTCTCATATTGAGTCACTCAACAGAGCTTTTCAATTCATTTGGCAATAACTAATAGAAACAAATATTTAAAATTAATTTTGCCATTTGCCTTTGTGAGGCAGTTGAGCATCATTGGGCATTTCAGCATCTTATAAAGAACATTTCAAGAAAAGTGATGAATTTTTTTATTTATTTTATATGATGATTTTTTTTAATTGTTTTTGGTACGGTGGCTCAGTTGGTAAAGATGTTGCCACTCAGCGAGGAGGTTGCTGTTCAAATCTTGGCCCGGGACCTTTCTGGGTGGGGTTTGCATGTTCAAGGTTCTTTATTGTCATTCACATCACACGTGGTACATGAGGTGGAATGAAATTGTGTACTCAAGGTCCCAGTTACAGTGAAAAATAGCAACAAAAGAATGTAAAGTATAAAAAGAAACGGTATACGAGGAAAAGTTCTCTCCGTTCTCTGTTCTCTCCGTGCACGCGTGGATTTTCTCCGGGTTCTCCGGTTTCCTCCCACAGACCAAAAACATGCATGTTAGGCTGATTGGTAGCTCTAAATTGTCCCTAGGTGTGAGTGAGAGTGTGAGTTGTTTGTCTCGTTTGTGTCCCCTGTGATGGACTGGAGACCTGTCCAGGATGTCCCCAGCCTCTCTTATAGTGATGGATGGACATGGGCACCAGTTATCCCTGTGACCCGAAAAGAAAAACCCAACAGAAAAATGTGACGAGCCTAATTGAGTGGGGAGAACCTCAAGTTTTTAAATCACACATGGTGTTTTTTATGACTGCAGACTCAACTGAAATGACTGAACTGACCGGCTGGGTGACGGAGCAGCAAACACAGTACGGCAGCAGGGTCATCATGACCTCAGATAATCAATCTCCTATCTGCTATCTGTAAACTGTGATCAGCAGGAGACCAAAAACTGGAACTGTACTTTTCTTGACTGAAAACATAAATTTAAATCCTTAAATTGGGATTTTCTTAAAAGCAACCTAAAAATGTTTGACAAGAAATGCTTTCAATTAAGATGTTTTCAAAGATAAAATGGCAACAAATAAAACCTATTTTGAACAGTTTTATAAAATATATATGAAAATCTGTTTTCTTTTTATCATAAGTCAATGTGTTAAATAATTACAATACGCATAAAAAGTCCATGATTTGTTATCTGCTATGGCTACACAAGAACAAAACAATCAACAGTTAAGTTCTTTGATACAAAAACCTAGTGTGTGTATATATATATATATATATATATATATATATATACATATATAGTTGTGGGTTTTTTTTGTATTTTTAACATTCACACTAACTTTTGAAGGTTTTTTTTTGTTAAATTGGAGGGAGCTGCTGATGTAAAGTCAGACGTGACAGTTTTGGCATCTCTGTTGCAATATGTTGAAATGCACTGCAGTTCAATTTAAACCTGACATTAATCAAGTTTGCTTCGTATCATCTAAATTCCTGCAAATACTTACAAAATAACCTACAAGAATAGTCAATAAATCGATTACTGGCAATAACGCAGGTGATATGCAGGGGTGAGTTAAAGGGGAAACTCAGGGGTGTGGGCTGGGTTTGTTTATTTAAAATATTACTAAAATGTAGTCACATTTTTATGCAGCACTGAAACGCACAGTGGGTGGTGATGGAAATAGCGCAGGAAGTAAGCCGTGCAGTGAGATTAAAGCGAGGGCTGGAGCTAACATACAATAAAGGATGTTAAACAGAGGAAAAAAAGTCAACTGAAGGAGAAATCTAATGAAAATCTAAAGAGTCTGAAGGAACCCAAAGATCCTTTTACAGGAACGTTCTTTTGGCTGCACCACACAAGCTACGAAGATAGAAAACTGGAACTCACGGCTCTTAGCTTCCTTTAAAGGATTTACTAAACGATGTGCGACTAATAAAATCACAAGCCTGCACAGAGAGAGAACTGTTCAAGCACTTTATTAAAACAATTCAAATACAGGACATCGCCCGCTGACGTTCATGCCAGAGTTTTAAACAGAATGGACAGTTCTAACCATTTGCCTGGTAAATGTCTTTATGTGCAAACTCATGATATCTTGTGCAATGTGAGTATTTACTGCCTCATTATCTGTAAAACTGGCTGATGTGTAGCCACTTTTGTGTCTTGCTAGGCTCGCTTAACTGTGGCGGCCATCTTGAATCAGTTTGACTCCAAACATTAATTGATTATAGATATTCATTCACTGATTGCTTTCTGGAAGTTTCATAAAAATTGTCCATTTGTTAGTGCAAATGCGTTGGTTTTTTTTTTAGTTTATCAGTAAATTTGGGTAATCTTTAGTGATTTCTTCTTCTTAATCTATATTGTCTTGAGTGTTTAAAACCAGTTATCCAGTTAGTCTTAATGCTAATTGTATTGTATGATTGTCTATAAAAACCTCTAAACAGGGCTCTCTGATCAGCTATTTTTGCTTCTGTTTTCTTTTGTGTGCAGATGTGAATTAAAAGCACGAGGGTGATTCACTTCTCTTAAAAACAAATCACAAGAAGTGAAACTGTGTGTTAGAAATGAATGGCAAGGAATAAAAAAAGATTAAATAGACAGTCATAGTCATCACAGACGTAACTTTTCACCTGATAGATTTACATGATAAAACATTGACTTTTAATATTACTGTGACTTTTGATCTTTGGTCATGGAAAAATTTACTAGTTTTTTTTTTTTTTTTTTTGGCATCTGAGTAAAAGTCGTTCCGGTCTTTACTGTACAAAGTTTCTTCTGGTCTTGGACTCTTTTGTGCACACCACATGGACCGATTGTCAAGTCATTTAAAGGATCAGAAGATGCAGCACTTTCACTTTCAGTGGTTATAACCACTGCAGCGCATTTTCGGCACGGGAATATTATTTTCAGCTGCTCGACTCTTGGTTTTAACGAGCACACGTTCTAATACCGAACCTTACGCCGAGTCAGGTTGACTCAGACGATTCTTCTTTGATCCGTTTCCCGAGATGCTGACTTGGAGACTGTGAGATAGTTGTAGTCGTTGTTGTTAAATAGCTGCTTTAAAAGGGGCATTCCAAAGAAAACTACCCCGTTGCTGCTGCTAATTTCCCCCCCTTCGTGTTTCCTAACAGCAGAGAGGAATGGGACTTACAGAAACCTTGGGTCGTGTTTTCGCCACAAGAAAGCTTAACTTGTTTCAATGCTTCCTGGACAATAAATATAATGATGGTGCTATAAGTGAATTCGAAAAAGGAAGTCAAGTTCATCACCTTGGTATCACTAGAAGTGCTAGCTTTTGATGTTTTGTCAAACTGATGCACCTGTTAAATTTTTCAGTCGGGTCATCTGGACAGTTTCTTTTTTTGCACTGAAACGTTTCGCCTTCGATCCGGAAGGCTTCATCAGTCAAGGAAACACCCAACAAAACTGATTCTTCCCCCAACAGCTTACTCCAAAGTGGAACAAACCAGTTCTGCTTGTGATAAGATGGTCTCTTTGGTACGCCCCTCCTCCATTGCCGGCCCTCTTCCTTGTTGACAGTCTTGTCAAACTGGTTGAAAACAACAAAGTCCATGCTCAATAATCCATGTATAAAATCCAACATTTTTCAGTCAGGTCAACAAGGAAGAGGGCCGGCAATGGAGGAGGAGCGTACCAAAGAGACCATCTAATCACAAGCAGAACTGGTTTGTTCCACTGTGGAGTAAGCTGTTGGAGGAAGAATCAGTTTTGTTGTGTGTTTCCTTGACTGATGAAGCCTTCCGGATTGAAGGCGAAACGTTTCAGCACAAAAAAAGAAACTGTCCAGATGACCTGACTGAAAAATGTTGGATTTTATACCTGGATTATTGAGCATGGACTTTGTTGTTTAGGTTCATGTATGTTTGTCACCAACAAATGGTAAATGAATGTGTGTTATAGAGTTGTTTTTGTCTGCTCAAAGAGGAGCCTGCAGGCGCGTGGATGCACACAGGCCTTCTCCTCGTCTATAGGCTGGAAAGCCGAGGTCGACTTGACCTCACCTCTGTCTGATACGAGAGACTTCCTGCCTCACTGTCCAGCGCAGATTCTCACTGACGAGGCTCTAAGCATGTAACGTTGTACATCTGTGAAAAGCCTGTTTTTGTGACCGATCTGCCCTTGCCGGTTAAAAATCTTCTCGTGTCCTCAGAGTGTCTTATTTGAGTAAACATAAGATGATGAAAGGATATTTATTCATCTAACATGTTTGGTCCTTCGAGACGGAGTCGAACCAGCGACCTAAGAATCACTTAAGTCTCTTTCCTTAAAGTTTTCATAATCCCAGATGGTCAATTTTGGCTGAAAAGAAAAGCCCTCCTGACGAGAAGCAGGAAACTCTTACATTTAATTTTTATCGCCTGCTGCTATGAAAGGCGGGTGATAATGTAATTGTCTATGTTGCACAATTTCATGTTTCATCTGTCAGTAAAATATCTCATAACCACTAAATTAATTTTGTTAAAATTTTCAAAACACTGTGAACAGTGGCTGTACATCCACAACAATTAACTTTTAGACTCCAACTGAACCCAATTTAAGGTGGCCCTCACAGCTAATTAACATTAGAAAACACAAAAATGGCTACAGCTCAGTCAGTTTTACAGATATTTTGCTAAAAATTTGTATAGTGGTAGCAGAGAGTCATCCAGAGCACATACTCTGATTACCAACAGATTGCTCGAAATCTTAGTTTGAAACTTTAATAATCAGTGTCTGGGGCAGTAAAGTTCATCCAGGATGCTACTTTTATTGTAGCATAATAGTTTTTATAATGGTAATATTTTCTGTTTTGCTTTTAGTCTAAATAAAATGCTGAAAGTTGTTTGGAAAATCATTCAAACCCACAAATCAATAACTGGCTTGTTTCTGAGAGTTTTATTTGTATCTTCTGTCTCTTATAGAGAGGACACGGATCAATGGAAATCAGAATATTTGCTGCTGCGTTTTAAAATCAACGAAGGACAAATGTTTGAGTTTGTCGAGATGTTTTCTCTTCAGCATAATCCTCGTGTTTTATTTGAGTTTTGCTTCATTTTTGTGAGTGTTTTTAAATGTGTTAAATTAATTTGTCCTGAAATATACAGAAACATACTTTTCTGTTTTCTCAAAATATGTATTATCTTGTAGATTTAGTTTTTTACATTTTTGGCTTTTGACTAATATGGAGAGGTTTTTTTTTTTTCCTTGCAAACCTCTTGTTTGCTTTTTTATAATCACATAGAATTGCACTTTTAACTTTGTAATCAAAAGTCCTTTTGTTTTTCTGCCCTCTCTGTGTGTCGTGTTGTACTTAAGTCTCCACACTGTGTGTTTTCAATAAATGGAGTTTACCCTGATTAATTTGTCTATATGAACTGTGTGAACTTGATTCATGCTGTTTAAAAGAAACCTGCGTTTTAACAGTGACACATTTAGATCTCTGATTACAAAGTGCAAAAAAATATCAAAGGTAAGAGCAATATAAAATAACTCTGTGTTGCATCCCTCAGGTAGCTCTTACTTCGATCACATCTGTAAGTAGAATAAAACAGATGTTTGACCATTGTTTGCCATCTAAAATCTGTGATATTTGGTCACACTACTTTGTATCGATCTTAACAAGAATTGTTCGTTTGCCGATTGTGTAATACTTGGAAATGGCTGCCTATTTCTTTTTATGAATTAAATGAGGCTTGTGGTTTATCAAAGCACACAAAGGTTAAGTGTATCTGACTCTTCAAATAGAAGGTAAACCGTCAATAGATAGCACCTATCCATTAGGAACACCTAACAATGCACAATGTTTGACATAATCAGTGTGAGGCAGAGGAGAGGGTAATGTAAGGGGACGGATAATGAAGAAGATGAGAGAGGAACGAAAACCGCAACGGTCTGTAATGAAGGAGAGGTCAAAGGTAAAAGAAGGGGTGAGAAAAAATGGGGAAACCAGGAGTCTGGAGCGAGAGCAGTGACCAAAGTTGATGGGGCGAAGGGGGATGGGTGTGGTGGGACCAAGTGAGGGATGGGAGGATGGATTGGAGTGGTGAGACAGGTCGGCTGACTCAGTCACATTCCTGTCATCCAGATTTATTGCAGCTCGGGGTCCTGAGACAGGCCCGGAGCCGCGGCCAAATTACAGTCATCGAGAGCATTCCTCTGCTGCAAACACAGGTTAGCGGCCCGGTCGCACTAAGTGCTAGGTGCTGCCTGTTGACAAATGACTTCCTTTGAAGGGCACAAAGAGAGAGACAGTCGGAGAGAGGCTGCGTGTTTACTGTGCGAGGGCACCGAGTCACACAGTCTGTTTCTGTTGTTGGAAAGCTGTTTAGCTATAAGTAGAGATGAAGAATGAATGTTTGTATGCATGTTTTTACAATGTGGCCACTGTTACCACAGCCCCTATTCTGTGTCAAACATGAGCTCCCAGCGGAGGGTCCACCATGGACACACAGTTTGGCGGCATGGTTTCCAAGGCTTTTAATGGTGCCCTATCCTGACAACTGTTTTTAAAGACAGTGAACTTTCCAATATTTATTAAAGTATATAATATCCTAAATCACATTTTGTATTAAATGTTTTCATTTCTATTTTCCCTCCAGGTGTTCATAGGCAGTCCCAGGACCTCTCAGGGTATTACTCCCTCCCGCCGGGTGGTGTCGGCCAAATCCCTCCCTCCATGAGTTGGTGAGTTGCACAAATTTATTGTTTAATAACTTGAACCACGTTGCTGTCAAAATGCAAGAAAAGTCTAAATATTTAGATTTTTTTTTATTTATTTTAATTTCTGGTTTTCAAAGGTTTCTGCGACCAAAAGGCAATAAGATGTTGATCAGACCAAAAAGCCTATTTGAAGGAGTAAATATGAATATTTTCAAGTTCTTATATTATATCAATCAAATAAAAAGCCGCTTCAAAGAAAAAAAATTGCTGATAAACCAAAAATATAGTTATTGCTAGGGATGCACAATATTTGATTTTTGGCCGATATGTTAAAACTTATTTGGCCAATAATCGATACCAATACCGATATTTTTTCCCCTAGACCTACTTACAGAGACTTCATAGATTTCTCTGCTGTGGAATTAAACAACTACATTATTCTGCATGGTCTTTGTCATTCTGGTCTGCTACCAAATGCAGATGCCAAAAAGGGGACTGAAAATGAAGTAACACTATATATATAAATATATAATATTTAAAAAAAGGGGAGGGGGGAGCACCTTTTATATCGATGAGTTATTTTAATGGAATGTCCGATATTTAACTTTATCGCTAATATCGGCCGATACCATGCCGATAATGTCGTGCATCCCTAGTTATTGCAATAAAATGTAATTTCTGTAATAATTTGTTAAGACTGTGTTTGATGTTGTTGCAAAAGCTATAAAAGAAAAACCTTGGTAGTAAAAACTCCAGGCCTTGTTGATTATTATTATTATTATTATTGGGTGGGGTTTGGAGGTTTTGGCTCGGTTCTAACAAATAACATAATCAACATCGTCAGATCAGAAAAGATAAATATTAGGCGACGGGATTTCTTCTGCCTTGAGCCAGAAAAATGACTTTTCCTCTTCTAAACTATAGGGTCCTGACTAAACCGTCTCAGGCACAGAAAACTTTTGTTTTTATAAAAAGAAAATGTTTGAAGCTTAACGATTTTACCAAAAGGGAAACGGCAGATTAACAGAAAGAGAGAGCAGTTGGGCTTTTTCAACATTTTACCAACACGCAGCTGAAGAAGAACGGTGAAGTTGATGCGAATTCTGCAAATTGTTGACTTTGATTTTCAGCTCCACTCTTTAATAAATTCACAAACGGCTTGAAAACTTTAAATCCAAATGTGTCTTGGGCTTTTTGCCGTGACATTTTTACTTATGGAGTTGCAGAAGGAGAACTTCTGCAGAAAAAGAACAAAAAACAGTCCCATCTGTTTTACGTTTTTTTAATTTATTTATTTTTTTAGTTCTTATCAGGCTCCAGAGTTGATTGTGAAATTGCAGTGTCACACTGTCTGATTGTTAGTTTATTGTGGCAGACTTCCACTGATTTATGGATTAATACAGATCTAATTATACAGCCGAGAAAATCCGTGCCTGGACAAATCCTCACAAGAATAGTTAAGAGCTTTCATCAAATGTCATGGAGATTTAAGAAAAGCTTTTTTTTTCTTTTTTTTTAAGTTGTTTATTTATGCGTTTATGCCTGTTTTTTGTGTTCCCGCATAGTCCTCAAGTGTGTGATGTTCAGGCGTTTTATCATCTTCAGACAAGAACACTTCACTGTGGATTTTCACAAGTATTATTAGCAGATAATCTCCTTTAACCCAGATTATCTGCTTGTTTTGAGCTCTTGCGGTGAGCTCCTTTGTTGAAGGAGGAGGCGGGGGGATCGTGGAGGAGGAGTGGTTAAATGTCAGACTGTTGTTATTTTCTTGTTTTAACTTTTCGTCTGGGACCCCTGTCCCTCCACGACCACCTCCACAATCCCCTCTCGCCTGTTGGCTTTATTGGTTAGTCGCCTCATATCATGAAGAGATTGTTTCATATGTGTTTTGTGATGATCCAGCTTTTAAAACCGTGACTAAAGACAAAACGCATAGATTTGTGTGAACAAGACGGTTTAAGTTGACAGTTTGACACTTTGGTAATTAGATTATAGTAACATTTATCATTAAGAGAACGTTTAAAGAATGTCTGAAATTGAGTGCTCGTGTAGAATCTGAACACTGGGAGTACTATGAATCAGTTTTGTTAAAAAAAGAAAAGAAAATACAGTTCTTAATTTTAAACTAAAATACTGAGTACTTCTTTACAATAAGGGTAAATAAAGTTATTCAGTTACAAAACGTAAGCTGAGCGGCTCAAAAAATCTTCATTTACACAAACAAATAAAAGTGCAGAACTTGATTTTGCTAAATAATAGGTCTTCAGTGTATGAACTATTTTTAATCATGGTTTATTAATGCTTCATAAAGTGTTTACACACTCATGAATACAAAGCATGAATACTTTTATTATAAATTATTAGTATTATAGTATACCTTTTCTGCAAAGTGGTACTTGAAACTATACTTTATGATCATTAAACATAACCCTTGTAGAACCAGAGAGGTGCAACTGACAGGACATTTTAGTTTTATTTCTTCCTCTAAGTTGTGTTTTCTTTGTTACTTTATTGCAAGTGATGTGGTGCAAAGCAGCACAGCAGAGCAGGTCGTTTAGCTTTTCATTTGATTCCCAGCATGCCTCTGCTTGGTCATGCCTTTCACAAACAGTCAGAGGGGTTTTTCTTTGTCAGCGTGCCGTCACTCAGGAGCTATTTGCAATAATCCGGATCTTGAAAATTAGTTTAATTTTAGATTCTTTTTGGACTAACACTGAGTGATATGTTGCTTATTAGATTCAGAGATGTGTAGGAGTGAGATAAAAGTTTGAAGTTTGGCCTGCGTTTATCTGAACGACACTTGACCTGTTGTGTGGTGTGACCCGAGTTTGTACAGAGTCAAATGGTCCTCCACAAGCAGAGGTCGGTAATCTTTGGATCTCCTCCCAGCTGGGAGCTGCCGCTGGGCCCTGGTGTAGCGCTGCCTCCTGGTGCTCAAATGCAGATACAGCTGAGAAAGGAGGATGTGTGATGATGATTGCAAAGGGGCTTCAGAACAGTAGGTGAGGACTGGAGTGTGTGTGTGCATACATTTCAACTCAAGGATGAGTCAGCTGAAGAGGGGGATGGTTTACGTCCCAGGAGATGTAGTTTCTACATATCAAAGACTCAGACTTGCACTCTGTCCACACCCTCGACCCCCCGGTGTGTTCGTTCTTGTGCTCCGACTACATAAAGTTCTCTATTGACACACATCTGTCATCAGCTCTGATCCCAACGTTTCACGGGAATCACCTCGGGATCAAGAGATCAAATGCATTCTTTGTAAACTATGAAATCAAACCACGCAAAAGGTTATCCTGAACTATTTCAAATGGTCTAGTAGTTTTCCAGATATACTGAATGCATTTCTGAAATGTGGGTCTGCGCTCAATGTAAACAAAGCACTTTTATCTATGTAAGTACGTTGGAATTGGATCCCAAATGACTCTTCAATGGATGTTGCCATTTAAAAAAAATCTTTTTCACTCACTCCCGTTGTTTATGCAGGTAAACAACTGCACATGGAAGTTAATGTCCAGTCACAGATTTTGTTTGTATTTTTTATTTTTATTTTTCATTTAAGGGCACATTAACCATCAATATGAGGGAAAAATCTGTGTTTTTCATTTCATACCTTCTGAACTATTTATTTTACCAGTCTTCATGACAGACAGCTTTATGATATTGCAATGCGTATCTTTAGTATGTAATTAGAACACAAACACTTCCAGACAAAAGCATCCCAGAAATGGTTTTTCTGTGATCTTTCATGAAAACAGTAAACGATAACAAAGCACTGAGGGAGGTGCAAGCAAGAAAACCATTATGTGATAAATGAAGCAGTCATTTTATTTTAATTTGAAAAAAATAATAATAAATGAAATTAGAGTTGTATGCCTCTTTTATGACTGTTTGTTGTTGTCATTGTTGTCCACTGTTGTCATCACTCTTTGTTAAAGAAATCAGGTCTCTCTTGTAAATGAGTCCCTGAGGCTCAATGGGATTAACCTGTCTAAATAAAGGTTGAATGAATTTTACCAGCTTTTATGCTTCTTTTAAGTCAAGAACAGTATAGATTAAATTGAGTTTAAGCTCTTTTAAAACAACAAACGTTTGCCTCTGAAGCAAAACAAAGCAAAGACATAAATAGCAACTAAAAGCCGCCTCCTGCTGCCATCTCTCCCTTTGCTGTACCGTGGCAGGCAGAGCCAGCCAGTCTACCCTGCCCTGTCCCCCTGTGGATTCAGGCAGCCCTACTCCTCCAGTCTCTCCAGCGCCTCGTCTTACTCCAGGTACCGAGCCAGGAAAGAGCCAAGAATAAAATAAAGACAAAAATCTATGCTTTGTGTATCATCTGCTCCTGTTTATAGCACATTTAAAACGCCTGAGCAGGAGTTTTCCATGCACTGTGGCAAACTCGTGTTTGGAGGCTGTGTCAGATTTTATTGGGCAGCTGCTGTAAAAGTCCTATTTGAGCCTGTGTGCTGTAGACAGGATGAGTTGTGCTTTTGCCAAAAGAAGCTGAAAAACGGAGCTTAGCCAAGCTAATCGCTGCTGTACACGATACCATTAGGACAACTGCTGCTCTGCTGCTTTTTGGTTCTGTTTTTCAGAATTTTTGTGTTCTTGATTGCAAAAAATTTAAAAAATAACGTTCTGTTAGATGCTACCTGCTTTCTGTGATTTTTGGGACGTGAATATACATTAGAAAAATACAAAGTTTGGATGCATTTTCTTTAGCCTGCATAGCTCAAATTTAACTAATTTGAAGCTGATCCATTGTTCACTTCTGCTCACACAAATGTGCAAAGAAGCACTGTAAATAAGAAAATGGTTAGTACACTGTTTCCATTATGTAATTTACATGTCTAAATTGTTTTTACTGGCAGTAACTAAACTGTGAAAGTGCAATAAATCCCATTTATTGTCTGCAGAAGACACATACAAGCTAAAATAATATGTTGAAAGTGTTTTGGATGCTCACGCTGCCACAGTTTACCAGCAGCTGATGCTTTATGCTGCTTTCTTTGTTAGTCGTTGCGTTGCTGTTTCTTTGTCCCCGTCCTGTAAAGGTTCTGTGCTTCTGTTGCCTTTTCTAACCTGAATATAAATGGACAAAAGAAACATGATCTTGAAATGGCTTTAAAATGAATGATTTGACTGAGATGTGGAACTTTAATCTCTCTATAATCAATAAAACTTGGACGCTCTCTAGTGGTGACAAACGTTAACATCACTGCAGCATACGCATTTTTTCTTTTTAATTTGTTTTACGGTAAACATCAGCCGCCAGGCTCATTATTATTTTTCATTTTAAGTATTTCTCTCAGTCACACATTCTATTTGTCTGCTATAAAACAGTTCTGGTTTAAACTACTGTTGAAACGCAAGTAAAGGCAATTTCTTCACAGGTTGACTTTACCAGATGATGTAAAATCATGTTTGGACTTTAGATGATCGTGCTTTTTATGCTTTCAGGCTTATTGCTTTTTCCAGAACGTCTGCTCTGCTTTGATTCTCGTCCCTTTCTGCCTGCTTTTCTGTTTTGCTGAGTCGTTCAGGACTCACTTTCTTGACTCTTGTTTCTATTTGTGTACTCATTTGTTTGACTTCCTACCAGGTTTCCTCACTCTCTGATGCTCGGACCATCTGGAGTGCATCCCACGGGGATCCCCCACCCAGCTATAGTGCCTCCTTCAGGCAAACAGGAGCATGAACAGTACGACAGGAGCATGTACATGTAAGTAGGTGCATTTTCCATGGCAAGCTCACTTTGCTCCATCTGTCTGTCACCGTTCTGCAATCATAGAATCATAGTTTGTTAGCATGTTTTATGACCAACTATATAAATGAATAAGATTATTGATCACACGTAGAGGACAATAACTTATCATCATCCTTTCTACCCTCCTGTTTTTCATCTTAGGAAGCCGCAGGTGGAGGTCAAGCGAGAGAAGGAGCCCAAGAAGCCTGTCATCAAGAAGCCCCTGAACGCCTTCATGCTCTACATGAAGGAAATGAGGGCGAAAGTTATCGCCGAGTGCACGTTAAAGGAAAGCGCCGCCATCAATCAGATTCTGGGACGCCGGGTGAGGGCAGCATATACGATCAAAAACACGCATGAATGTTGAACACAGTTTTCCAGCTTTCAGCTTAGATTTGATTTTCAAACCCAAGGAGCATAGGATGAAAAATGTGCAGCACTGACTTGTAGGAGTGAGGTCCAAAACCCGATCTATGTCTCTATTTCTGTACCTCTTTAAGACCATACAAAACATCTGAATTGGATTTTAAATATTTTAGACAATTGCTTTTAATTATAAGATACAAAAACAATTTATTTTTTATTTTTGTTGTAACAAGTTGTGTTTTCCCCACATTCATTCAGCTTTTATTTATACAAGTTGGTCTCATTGAGTCACCTCATTTTCAAGAGAGACCTGTTGTAAACAAAAACCACAGATGAATTACAGACAACTAAAAACAATCATATAAAAGCATATAAAATGAAATAAAAACAAGCTACATTATAAAACTGTGTAAAATACTAAAAACAGCAACATGTCTGCGTTGATTTTTGCAAAGTCAAAGTCGAGCTTCAGATCTTTTTGCAAGTTGTTCCAGGAAACAGGAGCAGAGTAGGAGAAGTTCAGTTTGCACTGAGGGGACGCTGCAGGTAATGATGTCTTGAGAGCGCACGCTGTAGCTGCACTGACGAAGTGACATGTAGGAGGAGATGTATGGAGGCAGCAGACCAAGAAGTGATTTAAAGATAAAATTGGACCAGTGTGAGAGTCTGCGTGAAGTTAATGACCAGTTGACCAGTGAATACAGGTTGCAGTGATGGGTACGGTAGTTACAACCAGTTATGAATCTTAGCGCACCAGGATAGACAGCGTCCAACATCTGCGAGGTGCTTGCAGGAGCATTCATGTAAATGTCACCATAGTTAATGAAGGGAAGGAAAGTAGCAGTTACAAGATCTGTTTTTGAAAAAGAAACCTAATTTTACTTTCAATTTTTTTATCAAGTTTTCGACATGAGGCTTAAAAGAGAGATGTGCATCGACCAAGATTCCCAAGTATTTGTAAGAATCCACAAACTCAATAGGGCCACCATTTGTAGATAAGATAGAAAGAAGGACTGCTGGTACAGACTTCCTGTTTGAAAACAACATCCCTTTGGTTTTATCAGCATTTAACACCAGTTTGAGAATGAACAAATCTGACTGGATGATGTCAAAAGCAGACTGTAAAAGCTGATAAACCTTAGCAACTGTTCTAGCTTGACAATAAACAACTGTGTCCTTAGAAGTGTAAGGATGCATCAGGAATGATCTGAACTACATTACTTATGTAGATTGTGAAGAGGGTGAGTCCTAAGACTGAGCCTTGTGGTACACCATTGTTGACTAGTTAAATAGCTGGAAGAAATACATTAAGTAAGTACATTGATCGCAGTGAAGCTTTCAGTATGTTAAAAACTAACAAAAATATATTCTTAAGTGTTGATATTGTAATATGTCCAGGGGTTTTTATATTTTTTTAACATTTCTATATTTTTTGTGTTTCTAGTGGCACGCCCTGACCCGAGAAGAACAGGCCAAGTACTACGAGTTGGCTAGAAAAGAAAGACAGCTGCACATGCAGCTCTACCCAACCTGGTCTGCTAGGGACAACTACGTAAGCACTTCCACTTTATTTCCACTTTGTCCTCACTCCACTCTGGTTCTTTATGAATATATTCAAAATGAGGAGCCGATTAACAAACATGCACAGGAAAAGGGTTCTGTTTTTCCACTTTGTTGTGCAGAATTGTAAACTAAAGTCATGAATTTTATATCTGGGTTGTGGTCGGAACAATCTGTTCATCTGTAGACTAAAGACGTCATTTGGTTGCTATGGTAAACGTGAGCTTGTAACTAAATAATAGATTTTTTTCATTGTTTTAACCGCATTATGTCAGCAATCACAACTTGGTAAAAAGTGGGTTTAAATGTGTTCATCTAGTATATTCAACCATTTCTTGTTGGTGGTGTTTTATTAAAACAGAATGTCATTTATTTGTGCTCAGCTCCAAAAACACAACAAATAGAAAAAGAAACACCTTTAAAGTGATATAAGAACACTATAATATGCAACTTCAGTGCTTATACTGCATATAGTTTTGTTTTTTAATCAGGAGTTTGCTTTTTTCATTTGGTTTTTATTAAATTTTTATTTAGTATGCAGTAATAATATAAACACTCACTGGTTTCACCAAAATAATAAAAAAAAGTCAATGAAAGCAAGGGTTACTTTAATAAATTATCAAATGAATTCATTAGATGAGTTTGCATTCAAGCACTTCCCATAAACCAAATCTACATTTGAATAAAAAGCCGTAAAGAACTGAAATATCAATAAAAAAGTACAAATCTTTTGATGAAATAAAGACTTTTAGTTCCCTGTAATTAAAACCAAGATGAAAACGCACCTTTTTTCAATTCAGTATTCTTGAGTATTTGTGAAGGTGAAGAAAGTGCTTACTTGATAACTGTTTTGTCAATTATTGCCGCTCATGGCTGCTAATCAAAAGACAAACATTACAAGGCACACACTTGTGTGGTGCATGCATTTTAGTTCAATGTTTTGGGGAATGTGCTGAATCTAGGCTGCTGTGTGCCTCTGACTTGTCAGTTTGCTGTTGAACTCTTGCAGGAGGCGGGCCTTAGCGGGGTCGCAGGGGAAAAGAATAAAGCTGATTGGGTAGGGACACGTCTCATGGTGGATTTATACCTCTGTGATGGAAAAAATGAGTGTGTGAGGAGCTGCATGAGAGGGGTTGTGGGTATTTCTGTGCAAAGTCTGCATGCACCTTCCAAAAATCTCAATGACTCACGCTTCGAGCCTCACGAACAGCACGTAAAAATGGCAGCCACACAAACAGATCTGATTTGTTAGTTGTGGATGCATTGTGCAAACTCTTGCCTCATTTAGTCGGTCTGTAAAACACAGAGGTATAAATCAGCCCGTATTGCTCGACTAACAGAGTGCAGGGCTGCATGGCTGGCCTCGCTGTATTATTTTATCTACTTGGCATCTTCCTAAACTACCTTTATTTTTGTGATCTTTTGTTTAAAACATATAAAAAGCCTTAGTGATCATTTACGTTTGATTTTAATAGAAGCTTCTGTTTAAATCATGCTAAAACATATTTGAGTCGTTATGCTTTTCTCTGCAGTTGTTTCTGTAAAAGTGACCGAACCAAACTGTTGATGCTGGCAGGAGTGAACCGTTTACTCCTGATGCTACCCAACAAGCAAATCCCTTCAACTCACTGTTAACAAAACAAAACATGCTCACGTTGAACTGAATTTATTATAACAAGAAGCATCTAATTCACCATAATATGAAGTGTAGCAGTTATTACTGTGTGGAACATTTTAAATCAGACGGTCAAATGGAAGAACTGAACAAATCTCAGTTTTCTACACTGATTCAGAGTTCCAGTTTTTGCAAATCTTTGAAATTCAAAGAATCATATAGTAAGAATCAGATTCAAAGAATTATATAGGAAAAATCAGATTCTGAGAATCAGATTCAAAGAATCATATAATAAGAATCAGATTCTGAGAATCATATGGTAAGAATCAGATTCAAAGAATTATATAGGAAAAATCAAATTCTGAGAATCAGGTTCAAAGAATCATATATTAAGAATCAGATTCTGAGAATCATATGGTAAGAATCAGATTCAAAGAATTATATAGGAAAAATCAGATTCTGAGAATCAGATTCAAAGAATCGTATAATAAGAATCAGATTCTGAAAATCATATAGTAAGAATCAGATTCAAAGAATTATATAGGAAAAATCTGATTCTGAGAATCTGATTCAAAGAATCATATATTAAGAATCAGATTCTGAGAATCATATGGTAAGAATCAGATTCAAAGAATTATATAGGAAAAATCAGATTCTGAGAATCTGATTCAAAGAATCATATATTAAGAATCAGATTCTGAGAATCGTATAGTAAGAATCAGATTCAAAGAATTGTATAGGAAAAATCAGATTCTGAGAATCAGATTCAAAGAATCATATATTAAGAATCAGATTCTGAGAATCATATAGTAAGAATCAGATTCAAAGAATTATATAGGAAAAATCAGATTCTGAGAATCTGATTCAAAGAATCATATATTAAGAATCAGATTCTGAGAATCGTATAG